AGTTTTGTCTGGCAGCAGCTTGGGGTGCAGGGCCCCAAACAACAGATTCCCCAAGCAAGAGACACAGAGCTGGCAGGCAGGCTTCGCGGCCTGGCAGGGCCCAGCACTCACTCAGGCCTGCTCTAGGATACACACAGCTGGCAGGCTTTGTGGCCTTGACAAGAACTACCACCCCTGCAGTTTTCAGCCCACTCTGCCTTAACACACACAGGGTCACGAGTTCTGCCTGTCAGCAGCTTGGGGTGCAGTTCTCACCCAACCCCTGCACCGATCTTCTTGAAACCTGGCAGGCTTTGTGGCCTCAGCAAGAGCTACCACCCCTGCAGTTTTCAGCCCCCTGTGTTGCATCACATGGATGTGACAGGAGCTTTGCTTTCAAGAATTTGGGTACAGTTCCCCCCAAACCCCTGCACCAATCTTCTTGAAACTTGGCAGGCTTCATGCCTGCAAGTTTCATCCAAATCATACAAAAAACAAAAAAGTTATAGATCTTCCATTGATTCCCCATTATACCCTATGGTCGGATCTCCAAGGCGGCTCCAATGCTTCAGAGCCGCTTTGGCCAGATTGAGGCGGAAACCCCGTCTGGAGCTCCAGATCGGATAGCGGCCATCTGAAGTTGGATCAGATCGCTGCTGACTCGCACAGCCCTATTCATTAGGACAAACAGAAATGAAATTTGGCTTCAACGGGTCTGTTTGTGAAACAAGTTTATTTATTTCAATATCTAAATAGAGATTTCAAGACTTATTGTTAGGCTGCTGTTTTGAAGATCCTAGCAGAGAAAACCAGGGTCTTATTAGTAGTTATCAGAGAGCATTCTAATTTGGACTGCTACAAATGTAGCAGTCTGCATTCATCTGCTGGCTCAGGTTAGTAATGTACACATAATTAGTTGCTTGCAAGCTGTTCACCTCAACTGTTTGTTATTCAATAGTTATGAGGTGTGCCTGTTGTCTGTCACATATTCTTGAGTCTGTTCCAGGAGTGCAGCCCCAAATCTTTTTAAAATAGAATGATCTACTTTTGCTTACACCTAAATAATCATTCCTGCTGAAATTTGTGAAACTTTCAGGATTCATATCAGCCAGACATGAAAAACTAATACTACTAATCTAACAAATCTTAGGGAGCTGAACTCAATACATTTGCCCCTCAACACAATTATTCAGGACGTAACATTTCTTGAAAATTTCCTCATGTTTCCAGTTTAGGTATTAAGTTATAATTGTTCTGTACTGCAGTTCTCTAGTCCACCATTAGTAGTGTTCATGAAACGTACACTAAGATAAAAGGATATGTATTCATCTCTTAATGCTTGTGTTTAACTTCCATAATGTTATACAGGGACAGCTCAAGGAACGTCCATATCATACAGAGCAATTCTCAGTTTCCACTGAAATTTAACTGAAGTGAAGCCACTAAAGTGATATACTGTTTCTTCTGGAATTCCCATAATTTACAAAAATGAAACTCCTCTTAATAGGTTAAAAAAACCCAGCAATAAAAAATTCCCCAAGTGTTTAACAAGTTTCTACTATTCATCATGCGATTCCTATATTTGCGACATGGCCAATGAGGCTGAATATGCAAGACATCTTTGCATTTTTTTCTAATATGCACCTAAGAGAAATGATTGTAAGAACTGTATTTGAAAAAAAAAAAAATCAGTAAAAACCAGCAGTAAATTGCTAGATCTTTCTGTATGTGGCAAAGGCTCTGCCCCCATACAATGATTGTTTAATAATTTCCACTGTTTGGGGCACAAGGCTCCATAGCTATATTATTTATAACAGTAAGAAAGAGCAGCCGTTCTATACCTAAGCCCTATGAAGCTAATCAGTCTAAAGCCAAAAGAACTAGCATGGCTCACCTGTAAGAGCCTGAAATACCAGTAATTGCCATTCCTGAAGCAGGAAATATATAATTAAATAAAATCAAGCAACACTGGAAAAAAAACTTGGCTCCAGAGATATTTTTGAGGGAAAGAATCCAAAAATCAGACATTTATAGCCATAAAGATAGCACTAGCAGGTATATTAAGAGTGAAAGCATTACCAACATTATATGTCAAACATCTTGTTTAAGGGCAGATGCTGATTGCTGACTACCATAAGGGGGAAAAAAATCCCTAAGAAAAAGCACCAAAGCACTAAAAGTTCAAATTAATTATAGTGGGAGAGCATTTTCTATGAAGCACTCAGTATTATAATGAGAGTATTTGAATTTAAAACCCATATACCCACCAGCACCCTCACAGGCACTGTAGAAGTTTGAATACAGACCTTAATTTTGCAGTAGGTGCCTGCTGCTAAAATGGGTCAAATAGAAATGGATTCAGACTCATCTGAATATGAGGAAGTCCAAAATCAGTTCTGAAATTTTTGGCTTTGGTTCATTCTAGCCAGTTCTAGCATTGAAATTCCCACGTCTCTATGGGAATATCTGCAAGTAGATACTCATTAAAATCACACTTCAGAGCACATTAAATGCGTAGATCGGGGTAGGCAAAATCCAGCCTGCCCATGGGTGGCCGCCTGCCAATAGACTGTGTACAGCCATGGCTGCCCCCGCAGCATTCCACATGGGGCTGAGCCCTACCTGCTCCTGCCAGGGACAGCCTACACCATGTTCCTGCCTGCACCTGCTGGTGACCTTGGCCCCAACCAGCATGTACAAATTCCTTGAAGCCAGATAAGCAGTGCCAGGTGAGCAGACTGGATAGAAGGTGGTAGGGAGCTGGAATTGGAAACCCCAGGTGCTGGGACAGGAGCTGCCTGGCTGCAGCTTCCCTTCCACCTGGCTGGGCGTGTGGTGCCTAGCACACATCTCCATAACTGCTGTCGGCACTTCCCTGTACTACCTGTTTCCTGGAGTGGCACAGCAGGGGCAGGAGAAGGAGTCGCTGAAGAAGACGCCGCTAGAGGCAGGGGAAGCTGAGCAGTACCCATGCAGCTGCAGCCATACCAGGAGCAGCCCTGCTAGAAAGCTGCATGTGCTGGCTGGGGCTGTCAGCAGACATGGGTGGTGACATGGCATAGGCTGCCCCAGGCAGAAGCTGGCAGGGCTCAGCCCCATGTAGAGCGCTGCAGGGGCAGCCACAAGCCAGATTTGGGGGGGGGGGGAAGGGTTTGTTAAAAGGTTATCTTCTGAAAGATTGTTTGTGTGGCCCTTGACTTATCACCAAAACTTGTTAAGTGGCCTGTCAGCCGAAATAATTGCCCACTCCAGCTTAAATCCTTGAAAAGACTCTGGAATTTTATAGTATGGTATTTTGTACACAAGTCATATAAGAACAATGCAAGAGATTATCTTACCAAAGTTTAGTCTCATCAAAGGAGAAAGAATTGATCCCCAATTCACAGGTGGATACTGGTAACTTTCTCCAACTAAAGCAATGGGTGCCAGGGCTACCTTCACCAAGGTAGGGGGAATGCTTTCAGGGCCTGCAATAGAACAATCAACCTGAATTATATAATAATAAATTGGGCAAGTCATAATAAACTAGGCAAAACAGCCAAACAAAAAAAGAAAGTGTACAGACCCTGGAGTTTACAGCATTATCCTGGAATGAAAACCAATAAACATGGGTTTATTGATAACACAACGGCCATTTGTATCACATCACTGACTAAATATGCTGGGAGCCACATAAAATGCAACTGTGTATTGCAGAGTAATTCATGTGCTCAGGGTGTGGTGTTTTACGACAGCTGAAGGGGAGCCATTATAAAACCGAAGCCTTAAAATTAAAAAAATTATACTTCTTCCGCCCCTTCTAAGCCTGGGCCTCAAAGCATTTACATAGGTTAATTAATTGGGCCCTACAACACGTGAGTTTGGCCATCTTTTCCAGATTATAGACAGGGAAACAGGCAAAGAGATTGGATAGTACATTCAGACTCAAAGGGAACCAGCACTGACACTAAAATTAAAGCTTCCCTACAAACCAAGCTCTCATTTAAGCCCCATTCTTTGTCCTTTTGGCAAGAAAGTAGGGGTTTTTTTAGATTCAAAGTAGCTAATTCAGTGTAAAATCCTAATCAAAACAAGGCGTGGAGAGTTGTTAATTCAATGTACCCAACTGAGGTGCACTCAGGCTAATGTTACAGGGTTGGCCTTGATCAACTATATCAAAACCACCCAGTGCCCTATCTCTGCTGAGATTTTACGAGATAGCTCCTTTAATTTAATCATCTTCACGTGGACACTTTCTTCAGTTGTAAGTTTATATAATCACATGCATCAGAATGCCACTTAAGGACCCAAATGAAGGCAAAGATCAAATCACAGAAACAAGAATTGGAAGAAACAATGCCAATGCCATTGCTGGATTATTCCTTAGAGTGTATTGTTGAAACTAGTTATGAATGTTTCAAACGATATGGCTTTCATTTCTCCTCTTGGGACAGTATATCAAGCTGTGACAGGAGTATCACTACTGGAGTCTTTTAGTGGTGACTCCACCCTCCTGTTATGGGCCAGCTGCCTGCTTACTCACCTGCCATGCCTTAATCTTAATTGATCGAGTGATGTAATTAGCAGGAGACTGCCCATGTTATATGCCCCGGTGCCAGGGGGCGTTATCTGCGGCTCCTTTTCCTCCTCTACACCGCAGCCCAAGCCTCACAGATGGTACTGACAGGATTTTGACCTGGGCCCTGCTGTGATTTGGCCTTCTCCTTTACCTCCCTGGGGCCCCTCACTACCCCCCCCTTCACTCGGGGGCTGGGGCCAATGCACTCCAATATGCGGTGCCCTCTCTGGCGCCAGGACCCCCACAATACCGTGGAGTCCCTATGAGGCCTCCTCCAACCCCTAATAGCCTCACTCGGTCTTCTGGTTAACAGTAAACACAAAAACACAAAGCCTGTGGGCTATAACATAAAACTACACCGTCTGGTCTAACAACATTCAATCCCTACCGGGAAAACACTCCAACCCATGGCAGCAACCAGAGAATGCTCATGCAGTCAATCTTCTCCCTTCTCTCTGCACTGGCCAAGCTCTCCCCTCTTTGGCTGCCAGAGGGGAACTGCCCTCCTGGCCTCCTGCCTGGGCTTAAGAAGGGCTGAGCCCTGCCCCTTCCTGTCAGCAGGTTTCGCTGGTTGCCCCAGCAACCAGCACCTGTGCTGCCCTGGTGACTGGCAGCCGTGCCTCCCCCTTCTCACCACTAGGGGTTTCTCTTGAGCCATCTCTGTTCTCAGGCACAGGGCACCTAAGTGCTCTGCAACACACCTCCCCCCTTTTCACTCCAAACTCACCGAGCCGAGTCTTTACTTCTTTCACCAGGTGCTCCATCCACCTGGGGTTCACCTCTCGGCCGTTTCCTCCGGCACCCAGCCATTTAGGTATAGAAGGTGGAGGTTTTTAGGTGCCTCCTACTCACGTTTTACCCAAGGCACACCATGTGGGATTTATTGGGAGTTACCCAACACAGGTAGTCCCCCCACACTAGCCAACCTTGGTAGGGTGCCATTTAGGCTGGTCTTCTCTCCCTGTTTTAAACATTCGTGAGGATGGCCCTGGGCAGGATGTGTCCTTCTGATGGAGGCAGCAGGCACATTATCATCATTGTTGGGAGTCCGTCTCCCTGCCGCCTCCCTGTCTTACTCCAGTCGTCCCTCTCCAGGTCTTGGCCTTCCTTCTCCGGTTGCCCGACTGGCTGGCCCCCCCGGGAGATCCCAGAATTGGAGGGGTCACTGCCTCCTAGCAGTGAGGTTAGGGCCTCTAAATAGATGCCCCCTTCTCTTCTCTCTTGTCTGAGGTCTTTCTGCTCCTCCTGGCCCCTCTTCTTCCTCATACTGTCTTGAAAGAAAGTCAGCATTTCTATTCTGGGTTCCTGGGTGGTGTTCCACCTTAAAACAATACGGTTGAAGGCTAAGAACCCACCTTACGAGTCTTGCTTTTTCAGTCTTCATACTCTGCAACCAGTGCAGGGGCGCGTGATTGGTGATCAACGTGAACTTCCGCCCTAATAAATAATACCGGAGTGTTTCAACGGCCCATTTAATTGCTACACACTCTCTCTCAACTGTGGCATAACTCTGCTCCGGCCGGTGTAGCTTCCTACTTATGTAGGCTATAGGGTGTTCGTCTTCTCCTTCCCTTTGAACCATACTGCACCAATAGCCACGTTTTATGCATCGGTCTGCACCAGGAAAGGTTTGTTAAAATCAGGTGTATATAAAAGTGGTTGTAAGTATAGCGCATCCTTCACCGCTCGGAACGCCTTCTCTGCCTCCGGTGTCCATCTTACTTTGGTTGGAGCCCCTGCCTTTATCTCCGTTAATGGTACAACCACATCCGCAAAGTGAGGTACAAATTTCCTATAATAACTGGCCAGCCCCAAGAAGGCCCTTACTTGTCTTTTGGTATGGGGCGCCTGATACCTCCGCAATGCCTCCACTTTGCTCAGCAGAGGTCTCACCTTCCCGCTTCCTACTAGGAACTCCAGGGGTTTCCTAATGTACACTTCCTGGGATTGGCTGTCAGCCTCGCTCTCCTTAAGTCTTGCACTACTGCTCTCAGTGCGGCAAGGTGTTCATCCCAGCTCTCAGTATATATAATAATATTGTCAATATACGCCGCGACGTAACCCCCATGGGGAGACAACACTCTGTCCATTAACCGCAGCTCCATGCAACCCAAACAGCATCCATCAGAACTGGAAGAGCCCCCATGGGGTGGCAAATGCTGTTTTTTCTTGATCTTCGGGTGCCACCGGGACCTGCCAGTAACTCTTTGTCAGTTCCAAAGAGGAAATGTAGCATGCCTGCCCAATGTCTTCCACCAGTTCGTCCACTCTGGGCATTGGATAAGCGTCAAACTTGGCCGTTGTGTTTACCTTCCGATAATCGATGCAGAGACGGATTTTTCCATCAGACTTAGGTACCGCTATGATGGGGCTTCGCCAGTCACGGTGGGATTCACATATTATACCTTGCTCCAGCATCACTGCCAGCTCTGTTTTTATCTGGCCCTGGAGTCACTGGGGGATCCGTCTCCAATTCTCATGTATCACCTGGCTCAGAGGAGTTTTTATCCGGTGTACCACACCCTGAGCTTCCCCAGGGGTTCCCCAAAATACATCTTCAAATTCCTTGACTAGCTCTGCAGCCTGTCTCCTCTGTTCTTCTGATGGCGCAGGGCCAGCTCTACGTCACCCGGTCCACTTTCCTTCGTTAACATGGGTCCCAACTCTAATTCCTCAGGATGAGGGGCGAAGTACATACACTCCCGGTCCTCCCACTTCTTCAACATATTGACATGGTATACTTGCTTCTTTTTTTTGCTTATCTGGTATACCTCGTAGTCTACGGGCCCCACTCAGCGTATGATTTCATAGGGTCCCTGCCACCGGGCAAGTAACTTACTTTCACTGTCCGGCAATAGGACCAACACGCGGTCCCCCATGTCAAACTTCCTTTCCCGGGCGCCTCAGTTGTAATGCCTTACTTGCCGTTGCTGGGCTTCTCTGAGGTTTCCTAAAACCATGTTCCGAGCTGCTTCAAGGCGTTCCCGAAGTTGGATCACATATTGGATGATGTTCTGGTTGTTACTCTGTTGTTCTTCCCACTGCTCTTTAATCAGATCCAGGATTCCCCTTGGTTGCCAGCCATATAATAATTCAAAAGGTGAAAACCCAGTGGAGGCCTGGGGTGCCTCTCTTACTGCAAACAACAAAGGAGGAATCATTCTGTCAAAATTTTGAGGGCTCTCAACCACGAACTTTTTTAGCATCTGTTTCAACGTCTGATTAAAATGTTCCACAAGCCCATCCGTTTGGGGATGATACACGGCTGTCTTCAGATGTTTAATCCCCAAGGCTTTATACTCACTGCCTCAAACACACGTGATGTAAAGTTTGTTCCCTGATCAGTTAGTAGTTCTTTAGGGAGTCCTACCCGGGAGAATATCTTCAAAAGTTCATTTGCCACCTTTGGCGCAGACACTGTCCGCATTGGCACAGCTTCTGGGTACTGCATCACATAATCCAGTAAGACTAATATGCACTGGTTTCCCGTGCTACTTCGGGGGAGTGGCCCGACAATGTCCACCACCACCCTCTCAAAGGGAACCTCTACCAGAGGCATCGGGACTAAAGGAGCTTTTGTGGGCGGCCTTGGGTTTGCTTTTTGGCAGACGGGACACAAAGTGCAATATCTTGTGACTTCCCCCATCATACCTGGCCAATAAAACCTTGCTCGAATGCATGCTTGTGTCTTGTCCCGGCCTAGATGCCCACCCATGGGGAGCTCATGAGCCACCTTCAACAAAGCCTGTCGATACCACCGCGGAACCAACAGCTGAGCAACCTCTCCTTCTGACTTCCCTTGCTCGATCCGGTATAGGAGGTCATTCCTTACCTTGAACCTTGGGGTTGTTCTCATCAGTTCCGGCCTCAATCTTCGTTTCTGGCCTCTTCTTCGTTTCTTCGAGCGAG